TTAGAAATCGCCCGCTGATTCATAGGTTGGAGGAGAGGGGTGGTGCTGGGTAGAAGGAAGAGAAGGTGAATAAAAAAAACTCTTGGATGATGTCATCCTCAAGGTTCGATGGATGAACAGGAGCGTTGTCAAGGGCGAGAAGGGCTTGCAGGGGTAAGTCATGCTCTTGGAGAATCTCTTTTAATGGAACTTCCAACGACCAGGTTTATCCAATCGACAAAGTATTGCCTCGTACCCACGCTTTTGGATTTGTCCTCCACATAACCTGCAGTTTTTCTTTTAAAATTATGTGCGTCTTAAAGGCTCGGGGGTTATCAGAATAGTAAACGAGAAGTGGTTTAATTTTCACCGCTCGCATTTGCGCACAATATGAGGGTTAACCTATCTTTCACGGGCCTGGCATATTCTTCTCCTCTGTGGGAGAATTTTGTTCTCTTTGGCATTTTCCCGCAAAATAACCCTGTCTCGTTTCAGTTGAAGACTTATTGGTGGACGTATCCTTCCGCCTCAATCAATTCAGCTAAAGTTTTTACGTTTTCTTCCGTTGCCATCTTATCAGACGGAACGAATTCTTCCGCTGCCTTCTTATCGACGAAGTGAATGCCGGATCTCTTACTAAACTTATCAAACCAGCCACGACTGGTGTTAAATGAATCTTGTGAATCTAAGTCTGTTGAAGTGCCTGGTGTCTGTTTCAGTAAATCACTCGTGCCTTCTCACAAATAATTGCCTCCGTCACGGTATCCCCTGTAAGTGTTTTTCGTGCACCCACACAATAGCAGCTTTTACATCTCTTCGTGAAGCGGAGTCCGAAGCTTTGAGAGACTTGAAACGTTCTTGGATGGTGTTATTGTTTTCAGTGTATCCTTCTGTTTAAGAATCGGGCATATTGTCGAAGTACTCCTTTGTCAAATCAACAATACGTACTTGGTGTTTTGGGATGATATCGCGTTTCATTTCAAATGAAATCACTCGCTTCTTCATAGCACTGTCCTTTGTATTTAGTTTCTTAGGGGTCATGGTTGAATTACAACAAAGAAATTCCGCAAAATAACTTCACAGATCAAAACATGAGCTAAACACAACACAGATTACAACGCACCACGACCGTACTTGACGAGATAAACAAAGAAGCTAGCAGCGTGAGTTTCATTCTTGGCGCGAGATGCTGATAGAGCTTGCTTGTCTTTTGATAGCTTTCTAGATGGCTGGACTGCGCGCGGTTTTCAAAATCAAAACTAGCGAGCTCGACTCGTACCTCGTGGCAAAGTCGTAACTTGAAGCAAAAAATCTTCTTTTTTCCTGCTCGTAACTTGGAACTCTCATAAATTAAGCACTCGTATGTCGAGGTCCAACTGTATATATATATATATATATATATATATATATATATATATATATAAGTTTCTCCAATATATATATATATATATGGAGAAACTTATGACAAAGTGGAAAAAAAAAAATTGTGACGCGTTTTTTGATTAAAGTGATATTCCCACGTTAATGTGACTAGACATGAGCACGAAGGAGAAGGAACGCTGAGAATTTTAAATTTAATTTGAAAAAAAATGTTTTGGATATATAATCTGACCGATTTCATTTAGTTTTAGTTTTATTTTATTTTTTTATTTTATTTTTTATTTTTCCATCACTTTATTTATGAAATATTACTTATTATAGAACGCAGATTGTGTGTGTGTGTGTGTGTGTGTGTCTGTACGTTTATATATTGGATCGGATTTCCTACATTTTTCAACCGATTTCAACGAAACTTCACGGGACTGCGTAAAATTGCCTTGTGGTGGTTCTGACGGCGCCCAAAATTGGAAAAAACACAATTGTTTTTGCACGAAATCAATTTGAAAACACGATAAAACACGATTCGGTCGCCAGAATGAAAGGGGGACAACTCATATCGAGTTATACTTATTATAAAACCCAGGTTGTTTGTGTGTGTGTGTTCGTTTATATATGGGATCGGATTTCCTACATTTTTCAACCGATTTCAACAAAACTTCACTTTTTTTTGGCAGGTAGTGTTTCTTATTGTCTTGCACACTTTTTTCTTCATTTTTACATTCAGAATGCTTTAAAAATTTCATTTACAAGACAATTGTTTATAATAAAATTCTATTCAATCGATAGACTCATAACGAATGAAAACAATGTTTTTTGTTTGAGTTTGGGTTTGACCCCCCCCCAAAGAAAACTAATTAAGACATGCGTGTCCGTCAACCTTAAACAATAATCTTTATCAATTTTATTTTTCAGTCTTTATGATGGTCGATACTTGATCTATCTCTTACTGTTACATCTCCGGGCAACGCTGGGCTCTACTGCTAGTATCCTATATAGCCGGGGCCGGCAAAATAGGCTATTCGTTTTTTGGGTTTTTTTTTTTTTAAATCTATAGATGAAGGGTGGAATGGATTCTACTCCCGGTTTTGAAGACGATTCCATGGTAAGGCAGGGTCGGGTAGGAAGAAATGTATTCAAGCCTCTCTCAACGTAATTAGAACGAAGAGAATGCAAACTGCATCGGACCGAATACGAACTCGACTCGCCTAATGTATGTCACTTGCTGTTGAACATTAGACTATCCGCGCCTCTCCACGTATATTTGTAGACAGAACAAATATGATAGCGTAACGTGGAAGTACTGCTCAACAAGCTTTTAGCAATCTACTATTTTTCATTCTCGTCCCGAAAGACAACTATAGTCAGTGGCCATCGTCTAGAGAGCGTGAGTCGATCCATTCAGAATTCTCTTCACTCTCAGATCGGATCAGCTGTGGTACGTGTGTCTTCTGATTTCTTTACATGCTGAAGTTCTTGTCTTGTTTTTATATCTGAAAGGGAAAGTTGCTCGTCTCGGTCTGTCGTAAACAGGAGTAGCTTAGAGGATGACAGATAAAATGATTGCGAACCAAATTTTATGATGAACTGTTAATACTATCTTTTAAAGGAAAAAAAAACACATAATTTTCATGTAACAAACTATTTTCATCTTTTATATCAAGCAATATTATTATCCCTTTTCTGGTGTCTCGGCTTCAGTCTCTTTCCCACTGCCGTAAGGTTGCCTCTCTGTGCCTTTTCTATAACTACTTTTATGGTAATTATTCGGATCAGATCTTCGCTGATGGTGTTTTCCTTATTTTCCATGATATTTTTCGTCTGATTTGGTTTTTGTTTTGAATTATCACATATATCTTTAGAAAGCATTGTGCTGTTCATGCATTTGTGTGCATAGTTTCTGTTTCCAGGGTCCTTCAGATACTTCTATGTATATTTGTCTTCTTTATCTGCTGATTTTACAGTGACTTGGAATATTAAATTGTTTTGTAAGCAATTGCCATTTAAGGAACATTCGTTCCTTGTATTGCAGTTTACACGTGGGTTTCATTTATGCGGGTAGTTTGGTGGTTGTTTTTTTTGTGCTTTTTTATTATATGCCATGTTCTCGGTGCAACTGTACCTATTTTTTATACTGTGTTTGTGGTGAGTTCTTGACTGAGGAAGTGTTTGTGTATGAGGCTGAGAAATATTTTTCCTACGTTTGTTTTTAAGTTTTTGTTGTACTGTGGGTTGAACCATATGATGTTTTTTTCTTGTAGCTTTTTTTCGTGGTGTGTGCTGTTAGAATAATACAATATACCTTCTACCCACAATTCTCCATTGACCAGCATATATAAATAGTCGATTCAAAACAACAAACATGGCCTGAGGATTGCGTGGCTTTTATAGCTACATATGATTTCTCTGGTATGGAGCACTTTAATCCATAAATACAGGGTGTCCATAAAGTTCGTGTGCACTTTGAGAAGTTTATAATTATATTTGTATTTGCGATAGAAATAATCTGTAAAAAATGTTATAAAATTTAATGTACCTAGTTTTAAGTATAGTTATTGAATAATTCTGTACCACAAAATTTGCAACAATTTTTACATAAGTAAAAAAATTTTTTTCTTTTTTCCAGCGTATTACCCTTTGTATTGCTAATGATGGAGGACATGTAGAAACTTAAATAAAATTTCAATAAAACCTTAAAAAGTATAGATTTCTTTCTTTCTAATCCTTTTTACAAATTAATATATATTTTACCCCACCCTTACAAATATTTTCCACTGACATATATATAGGTCCTCTCAAAGAAAAGCGTTATTTTTAAACATGAAAAATCTTTCTTGGAGCTTTGACTTTAGGCTTAATTTCAAGCTAATGGATAAAGTTTAATATTTCCAATAAGTAAAATACGTTTCTGTATTTCAAACTGAATTTAAATTGATTGGAATGAGTTTTCTTTTTATTATAAAAAAAACATTAAAATCGTCCATATTGACAAATATATCTACACAATTCTCTTTATTAAAAAAATCTTTCAAAAATAAGAAATAGTAAATTTTATATAGTGATTTTTTTCGCGACAACATGAGGAAAATAAATTCACAGAATTGTACGAAAAAACCAACCCCAGAATGATGACAAGACCCGCGAAAAATGTTCATCCTTTAATAGTTGTTTAATTTGTAACGCATATAAAAGTACGTAGAAAAAACAAAACAAAAAAAAAACCAAACAAATATTGATATAATAGTGAGGGTCACAAAGCACTGTCTTGGGCCTCCAATCAGCCCACTCTTGGTCGGGGGTAGCATGCATCTTATACAGACAGGCGCATTTAATTCTGAAGAGAAAATTCCTTAGGCAAAATAATGGTTTTATTGATAGAATGAATGTTATATATATATATATATATATATATATATATATATATATATATATATATATATATATATGTGTGTGTGTGTGTGTGTGTGTGTGTGTGTGTAAAGAGGTTTTGGTGGACAAATACATAGACAATGACGGAAACTCCAAAGAATCTGTTACAACGCACTTCATATGCAAAGGAGGACAGAAAAAGTTCGGCCCTACCACTTCCCAAAATCTAAATATATGACCAAACATCAGACATTGGGGGTATAATAATTTCTTGATCAGGTCAAAAGATTTTTGTAAACCATTGGTACTTTGATCAATATAAACGTTAAAGAATACACATGATGGGAGATAGGTAGGTAGATATGAACAGAAATAGATACATGGATATGGACAGAAATAGATAGATATGAACAGAGATAGATATGTAGATAGATATGAACATAGATAGATAGATAGATAGATAGATAGATAGATAGATATGAACAGAGATATATATGTAGATAGATATGAACATAGATATGAACAGAGATAGATATGTAAATAGATATGAACAGAGATAGATAGATAGATAGATAGATAGATAGATAGATAGATAGATAGATATGAATAGTGCGAGGTAGATAGATAGATAGATATGAATAGATAGATAGATAGATAGATAGATAGATAGATATGAACAATGCGAGGTGGATAGATAGATAGATAGATAGATAGATAGATAGATAGATAGATATAAATAGTGCGAGGTTGATGGATAGATAGATATGAATAATGCGAGGTGGATAGATAGATATGAATAGTGCGAGGTGGATAGATAGATAGATAGATAGATAGATAGATAGATAGATAGATAGATAGATATGAATAGTGCGAGATAGATAGATAGATAGATAGATAGATAGATAGATAGATAGATAGATAGATAGATATGAATAGTGCGAGGTGGATAGATAGATAAATAGCAAGATAGATATCAACAGAGCGAGATGGATAGATATGAACAAACCGCGACAGAGAGATATATTATTAAAGCAAATCATAAATAAGAAACAATGACTAATAATAATAATAATAATAATAACCAACAGTTAGTTACTTACAGTAAACAAGATAGGCAAATGATCTGTTTCCATACTTTAAGCGCGCTCTGTTGTCGGGTTTGCGTCTATCGCCAATGCTTGGTGATAGTTGTATTCCCATAAAACGAACCGGATTCCCAGTCGTGTGTTCCGTTCATTAATAGAATATAGTTGGGCGGCACAGCACACACCCACCATATTTTCGAACTCTAGCTATCGATTTTTCTCTTTTTCTCCCTCTTTCACTCTTGGCCTCTGTCTCGTCTTCCTCAGGCTGGCCGACGTTTGCCTTAAGTTGCTAGTTCGTTCGTCCGACTCTTGCCTGTCGCTTTGTCAAGCGGAGCGATTGGCTGGAAAATATTCTGTTCTGCTTAATGCAGTTCGGAATCGTGGTAAAAGAGGAGGAGAAAAGGGATAATGTAGGAGAGAGAAAAACAAGCAAAAAAAAAAAAAAACCACAATGGGAGAGGGAAGAAATAAAAATGAACAAAATAAGGCAGAGAAAGGAAGATTTTATGACATGTTGAATTAAGTGTTATTATTATTATTATTATTATTATTATTATTATTATTATTATTATTAATTATTATTATGATAATAAAATAAGTACATCCCATCTCCCCTCTCGCTTGTAATCATCCATTACAATAAAATAAACGTTTTTTCAGCACTAAAGCAGAATGTTTAAAATAAAGCTTCATTAGCTTCTACCGAGAGTTGTTAAAATAATACAATTATTGTTGTTGTTAGATTTAACCCGTGAAAATTTCACGGTTTTCCTTTTTTAATAATTTGATGAATCTTAATTCTTAAGTTAATGATTGAGTAAGCCCATGGCGAGTTCTAGACAATTAAATATCCGTAAAATTTTCTCTATAGCATCGTTAAATATTTGAGCTTAACAACTTTAACAAAATGTTACAATAACAATGATAAATATTATAAATATATATATACGGTCGTTGTTTTAAGAAATGGGTACAAGTGAAAAGATTTTAAAATTGACAACTTTTTTCGACTTCACTGAAATTTAAAGTTTTAATCCAAATTTCGATTTTTTTTTTACAATTCTCTCTCTATCTGCCTGTCTGTCATATATATATATATATATATATATATATATATATATATATATATATATAATAGCTGGCAACTCGTATTCGAGGAAAACCGTCAACTAGAGCGGCTAACCAATCCCTATTGCAGACGCTCGCTCAGGCACATTTGTGTTTGCACAAGACACACAGAGCCCACCTGTGGTTTATATTGTAATTATGCTGAGCAGACATTATTTACAGTGTCTGGAAGAGAGTGTGTTATCTAGCGTGATCACCAATTTGAACAAGGCCAGCCTGACTTGTGGATTCTTGCTAGCACACGGCTATCGACGGACCCCAAGAATTCCGTCTACTCAATTTCACTCACAAGGCTTGGGTCAACCCGTAGTATGGTTTTTCAGGCACTTTCCAAAGGTACCGCACACCGGAATCGACCTCGATCCAGTCTGATAACATCAGGAAATATATATATATATATATATATATATGTGTGTGTGTGTGTGAGTGTAATAAAAATATAGTTTTAAGGTATGCTATATTTATGGATTGAAGTGCTAAACGTAAGAGATAGAACGTATGCAAATATAGATATAAAAGGTGGAAATTCCCCTATGAATATTCACCGATTTGAGTTTAACAAAATAATACAATAAAAATCATAAATAAGAAGAGTGTACAAATGAAGAGTAAAAATTAACAATATTTTCCTTTTTACTGTAGTAGGCGTTAAGGTCATTGGAGCGTTATAGTCTCTTCTTTCTTCTAATCCTTTCTTTCTCCTCTTCTTTATTTCTCTTTCTTTCTTTATCCTTCTCTTTCTTTATCCTTCTCTTTCTTTCTCGTTCTCTTTCTATTCATTCTATCTATTCGTTCTTCCCTCCATTTTCATTCTTTCTTCCCTTCCTTTTCATTATTTTTGTCCCCTTCCTTTCTTTCCTTTTCTCTTTCTTTTCTTTCTTTCCTTTCTTTCTTTCTTTCATTCATTCATTCATTAATTCATTCTTTATTTATTTCTCAAAAAACAAAACAAAAAAAAAACAACAAAAACAACAAACAAAACAACGCCTTTTGTATACATTTCTTCTTCAAATAGAAAGGGTCCATTGTTTATCTGAGGCAATGTTAGGGCGTAATGCACACGTCAACTGACTGAATTTTAACACGTCAACTCGCAGAATTTTAATATTATATTTGGTTAGTCTATTCTTTATCATTTATTCCCCATATTTTGAAGATTTGGTACTTTGTTATTTCACAGAATTCCAGATCAACGTCTTAGAGTCAGCATTGTGGAATCTTGTCTTAAAAAAAAGGAAAATAATTTCAATCTCATTTCATACTGACGCCGTCTTTTCTCTTGCTGTTCTTTTCGTTGTTTCCTTTATAGATATCATTGGCACAGGTCTCCGGGATATTTTTTCTTTTCAGTTTTTTTATTTTTGTTTTTGCGTTTTTGTTCTGTTAATAATATCACCATTTCCTAAGAGCTTAATTGATTTGAACGGAGATAAACCCAAAGTCCAGACAATAAGTCCGTCATGGACATTAGCTTTATTTGGAATTTGAGATGTTTGTCATGTGTAATACGGCGACATAGGAAAAAGCCATTATATGTTGATAAGAAAGAAAATAAACTTGGAAGGAAGAAATAAAGAAAAAGATGAGTAGAAACTTATGGAAGAAAGCAACAAAATTGAAGAAGAGCAGGAAATTGCGTAAGAGAAAAGGAAGACGTGAAAATGAACAAGAAAAGTAAAGGAGCGAGAAGAGGACAGAAACTTGTGAGAGACAAGCAAAGAAAGAGAAAGAAAGCAAGAAAACATAAAGAAAAAAAAGATGAGAAAATTGTGGAAGAAAAAAAGAAAGAGGACAAAGAAATGAAGAAAACTGGAAAAGGAAAAGAAGCTTGTTCAATAAGAAAAGGAAACGAAAAAAAATACAACCAAAAAAAAAAAAACTTAAGGATGACGAGAAAGAAGGACAGCGACTTAGTGAAGAAAACTTGAAATTGAAAAAGAAGAATAAACATTAAGAATATGGAGAAATAAATCTAGAAGACGAATTTGAGGGAATTTCAAGAGAAATAGAAGTTATGTTAGCCATATAGAATCCACTGCTTTACCACGCAAAGATGAATAAATACTGTTGAAGAATTATGAGAGATGTGAGAAAGAAAAATCACGAAACTAGATGAAAAGTCATAGAGGCGGAAACGGTCAACTTTGGTCGGGCTTTGCGCCAAAGTCAAAACGGTCGACGTTGATAGGGCTTTCCGTCACAGTCGAAACGGGCGACTTTGGTCGGCCTTTGGTCGGACTTTGCGTCACAGTCGAAACGGTCGACCTTGGTCAAGCTTTGCGTCACAGTTGAAACGGTCGACTTTGTTCGGGTTTGCGCCAGAGTCGACCTTGGTTGAGCTTTGCACCAAGCGGTCCCCTTTGGTCGGGATTTGCGCTGCGCCGTTAGCCTTGGTTGGGCTTTGCATCAGAGTCCAAACCGTAAGCCTATGTTTGCTTTATATGTGCATCCACATATATCCATCATGAATGGCATTTCTTTTCTTGTAGGGATGTCTAAATCATTTGCAAGCGATGCAAATACTTACTCTTAGACCTCTCCTCTACTCCGATGGGACATTTAATAAGGTATCCACGCAGCCACCTTTACATTAATAATGAATGTATTTATAAAAAGTGTGCGGGCACTTAAGGAACAAATTATTTCTTAGTAAAATAAATTATCAGTCACAAATATGTGCTTGTTCGTAATTGCATTTCTATTCTTATGAACTTCTAGTTGCTTCTGGCTCTTTGGTAGTGAAACGTCAGTGTTTGTTTTAAACTCTCTTATATTATTTGCAACATAATGAATGAATTAAAAAATACTACTGAACAATGAATTTTTTTTCTTTTGAAAAATCAATTTGTCGACCTCTGTTTGTAGGGGTCGATATCATTACCAAAGAGAACATGCTGGTCATATATGCGCTTTCATTGGGTGTGTACAACTGAAAAGAAATAAAGGGTGCGGCAAAAATACTTTTAATATAATGGTGAGACTTTAGCAGCAATGATGTCTTTATCCATCTTGTGCACTACCATTATGTCGGAGGTATTTCTGGAAAGTATATGTGAAAAGTATTTCTGTTGAATCCGTTATTAGTGTTCGGTGAGTGATTACGTTTTATTTACACTATTTATATTCGGGCAGTAGCAGTCAAAACATGACAAAGAGCAGCAGCTGCAAATCTATCTCAGCAGTGAGGTTAGGTTTAAGGCTCCAAGTTCACTACAACAAATTGTCCTAGTGGATTAAAGCGTTAGTTTGTGAATTTGGTGACATAGTGAGTGTGAGTTCAATCCCTGGGTTGGGCACTGTGTACCTACACATTTGTGAAAACGGGCGTGCGATGACTGCGCTGTCCTAAATAAGAATAAGAAGAACTAGAAGAGATATCCCTAGACATGAGCAGTAGAACGAGAACTGTCTACTCCTGTAAATTAAATAAAGGGTAGGTTACCCAGATTCATATACATCTGAGGATGGTCGGAGGATACAATAGTTGAAAACGTCGTGATAGCAACAACAAAGATGAGGACTATAGTCAGAATATAAATAGTGTAAATATCCCAGAAATTCAGGCAGTGATTACGTTTTACCAGAAAGGATATAAAGTCAGATGTCAGTTAAATCTATCTATCTATCTATCTATCTATCTATCTATCTATCTATATATATATATATATATATATATATATATATATAATTCTTTTAACTCTCATTAATCCATCCGTCCGTCACACCCTCTAAAATAGTCATATATTGACCGATCGAAACCAATTTTTTGGGAGAAGTGCAAACAGGTAAGGGGGTATAAAGTACAAATGGTTTTACTAGGTGCG